TGCTTCCTCAGAGTCCGTTTTGCAGCTGGCTCCCCCCCACGGATTTGGCAGGGTTTCCCCGCCGGCGCTCAGCTGCGAGCCCCCGTGTCCTCCCCTCACCCCCAGCTCCCCCCGGCAGAGCGAGGGATTCTCGGAGCTGGGGAGGGCTTAGAGCCGAGGAGGGGGCTCAGGCGATGTTTCTGACAATCCTATGGGCTGCAGGAGCTGGTTTCCAATCCCCACATCCCCATCCCGGCTTCCTCCAGCCTCCACCCACCTCCCTGTTGGCTCCAAAAGTCCAGTTTTTCCCTCCCTCTCTCCCAGAAGCTGGAGGAGCAGATCCACAGCTGCGGGCGGCTGCGTGTCCCCCGGCCTGGGTCCCTGCTCTGTCCCCACCGTGTGTGGCCCCTTGCCCCCTGTGTGGGGACGGTGCCTAGGGGGTCTGGGGGAAGCAGCAGGGTGAGGGCAGAAGGGGTGACCCTAGCACCTAAGGGTCTCTCCCACGATGCCGCCCCACGGAGGGGTGTTTGTGGGTCTCTGGCTGCTGCTGACCCCCAGTCTCGCCGAGTTCCCTCCCAGCACAGGGGGAGCCACCCTGGCCTTCGTGTTCGACACCACGGGCTCCATGTACGATGACCTGGTGCAGGTGATGGACGGGGCCTCGCGCATCCTGGAGCGGACGCTTGGCAGAAGCACGAAGCCCATCAGCAACTACGTCCTGGTCCCCTTCCATGACCCAGGTACGGCTGGGGCAGGGTAGAGGCACCAGTCCCACCACGGGATGGGGCTACGGGGAGTTGGGGTGTGGCTCTGGCTGGGTTTGGGGCTGAGGTGTGCCCTGTCTCTTCTCCCCATTTTTAATGCCAGAGATGGGGACGCCAGCATGGGATGAACCATAGCTCAAGGGCTCCCATCCCCAAGCCACTGTGTGAGTGCAGGGCAAGCCATTTCTCACTGGATTAATCCCAGTGATGCTGGCACCCACTTGTGAGTGGCTTTTCTACTTTCATCCTGTCCTGATTTCCCTGGTTTAATCATCAGCAGGCATTTCTGTACAAGTCGAGAAGGTGCTTTCAGGTTTCTTCCATAAAAGCACCGCTCGCTACCAGGCTTTGGTGATTTACTGCAGTACAAGAATAATTTCTTTTTATCCCAGTCTTTGCCTTGGGATTTTTGTGCACACTCATAAATAGCAGCTGCTCTCCAAAAGAGCTCGGACCCCCTACAAGGAGAGCAAGACCGAGATTTTATTTTCAGCAGAAATGCTGAATTTCAATGAAAATTGCTGGAGCCGGACAGGGAAGGACCCAGAGGCAGTAAATGGGTTTCTGCATTGCTTGGCTGGGAGCCTCCTCCAGCAGAAAAGGGTGCTGGCTCTGCCCAAATCTGCATCTCATTTGGTGCCAAGCTGAGGTAGATGCCTAACCCAGAATCTCGGGGGTACCATAAGGGCGTTTTAGGCGAGGTGGGTGCTTGAGGGGTTCTGGCAGCATGACACCAGAGGAGGCTGGTGCCAGTGTTTGGGAAGGCTGAGGCGGTGGTCCTGCTGTCCTTGCAGAGGTGGGACCTGTCACCCTCACCGCAGACCCCCAGCTCTTCCAGCAGCGCCTGCGGGAGCTCCACGTCCAGGTAAGGCACCCATGGCTGGCTCTGTGCGTGGTCATTGGCACGTGGAGGGAAGCCTGGCCGCGCATCCCTGCCCATGGTGATCACGGGAGCAATCCCTGCTCATCTCCAGGCTTGGTGTCCCCTGGGAGCATGGCAGGGGCTCAGGATTGGGCTGGGCTTACTGGGGCCAACGGCACTGGGATGGGAGCAGAGGGAGTGGGTAACACTGGCGCTGTGCCCCAGCGTCCCGCAATGGGGCAGAGCCCCCTCAGTTCACAGCTCTTGTCCCAAAGCAGGAATTCCTTCCAAGGAAAGTTTGTACAAACCCTCCATGGAACCAAAAATCCCTTTTTATTGAATTGTTGTTTTAAAACTTGTGTTTATTTATTTATTTTAAACAAATTCAGCTGTGTTCTGCCAGCCGAAACACTCTTGGGGAGTTTAATCATGCTTTATCCATCCCCACTCCTGCCCTGCCCCCTGAGCATTGCTAAATCCCCATGGTGTTTCCCTGTGGATGCAGCTGTGTTTTGGTGGAATGTGTTTGGGAGCTGATGTAAAGCTGCGGCTGCAAATTGTTTCACAGCCCTTTGGGGAGCAAAGCCCCGTGGAAGTGGGAGCTGGTCCTTGCTGTGCCTCAGTGCTTGCCTGAGGTGTTTGGGTTATGCTGGGATGTGAGGGGCTGAGGTGGGCATGGATGTGCCCACTAAAGGCATTTGAGGGAAGCCAGCAGCTTCTGTGAGTCTGGATCCCCAAATGTGTGGTTTAATTATAATTAATGGTGAGATGGAGGTGGGTCCCTGTGATGGCACCACGCTGCTCTGGCTGTGCTTGGGCTGACTCCAGCAAACGGGTGCAATTCCTCCCGCCCCGCGCGGGATCCTGACAGAATCACAGAACGTTAGGGATTGGAAGGGACCTCAAAAGCTCATCCAGTCCAATCCCCCTGCCGGAGCAGGAACACCTAGATGAGGTTGCACAGGAAGGCGTCCAGGCGGACAGGAGCCCAGCGGGGAAGGGCTGAGCACCGGGAGGCTCGATGCCGGTGCCACGTCCCTCACCGTGTGCTGCAGGGTGGAGGGGACTGTCCAGAGATGAGCGTGGGAGCCATCAGAGTGGCTGTGGAGGTCTCGCACCCCGGTTCCTTCGTCTACGTCTTCTCAGATGCTCGAGCCAAGGACTACGAGCAGCAGGAGGAGTTGCTGCGGCTGCTGCAGCACAAGCAGACCCAGGTGAGCTGTGGCCTCCTGCGACAGCTGGGTGGGGTGACAATGAGCGGCAGTGATTAAAGCCCTCTGCGCTGCCTGTTAGCAGGGTGAATTTTGCATCTCCTGGGCTGGCTCAATGTACTGGGGGCTGCTGGCTGCATCCCACCCCTGGGATGGACAGACCCCATGTGATGCTATTTGGAGAGTCACTGTGACAGGTGGTGTTTGTGCTGACGGGGGACTGCGGGGACAGGAGCCACCCTGGGTACCGTGTGTACGAGCGCATTGCAGCCACCAGCTCAGGGCAAATCTTCCACCTGGACAAGCAGCAGGTGACGGAGGTGAGCAGGGATGGATTCCTGAGGTGCTGGTCCAGCCTGGCTTGACTGCCTTCATGTTCTTCCTGGAGTAAATCCTCATGCCCAAAGACCCACAAATTGCTCTGGGAGCCCTGTTTTAGCTTGAAACCAAAGCAAGGGCAGAAGGAGGCTGCTCACTCTCCAGCTTGCTGCTGGGATGCTTGTGTGATCCTTGGGATGAGCTGGCCTGCCTGTCCCTTTGAGCAGGACCCAACTAGCAGTAACAATTACACCAAATTACCCAATTCCTTTTGCACCTGCCTGTAGTCAGCAGGGCTCAGCTGGGGCCATCACCTCCTGCTCACCCGTCCCTGTGCCACCCTCATGCCAGCACCCACCGGCCCTGGCTGGAGCTGGCCCTTCACCCAGGCACTGCTTTGCAGCCATGCTTGAGATTTTGACCCCGTGCAATACAGCCCCGCTTCCAAAATGGTCAATCCTGATGGTGATGGGGGGTTTGGGTTAATCCTCCCCCAGGTGCTGAAGTGGGTGGAAGAGGCCATCCAGGCCTCCAAAGTCCATTTACTGTCCATGGACCATGAGGACGGTGGAGAGCACACGTGGCCCGTCCTCTTCGACCCCAGTCTGAAGGAGGTGACCATCTCCCTGAGCGGCCCTGCCCCACAGATCCAGGTCCGGGATCCAGCAGGTAGGAGCCTCTGGGGAAGGGACCAGGTGGGGGTGATGCTTTGTCTCTGGAAAAATGCTTGGAGGATCCATGCAGGCCAGGACAAACGGGAGGCTAGGGACATGGGGATTGCCAAACCCTGCCCTGATAGCTTAAATAAAAAAGCAATGAGCTACAAACTCCTCGTTAGGCACCAAGTGCACCGGTTCTCCTCCCCAGTTGTCTTTGCCTCTGGTTTTAGGAGGGTTTTCTCTGCTATGAGAGCTGTGTGATGGGCTCTGCACTGCGGTGAGCTCCGAGGGAGGGGGGTCCTGGCCAGCTGCAGGGATCATGGGATGCCCATCCCAGAAGTTCACTTGCCATTGCAGGAAAGGTCCTTGAGAAAGGCCAAGGTCTGAAGGAGCTGCTCAGCATCCCCAACTCAGCCGTGGTGGTGGCTGTGGAGCCCCAGCAGCCAGGGACGTGGTTGGTCACGGTAGGCTGGTGGCAGATCCTGCACGTTGTCCCCTACCCATCCTTTGAGGGTTATTTACCTGGCCAGACTTTGCCAGGTGTGGGCTTTCCCCCATCCACATCTGCTGGGCAGAGGATGCATGAGAGGGCTGCGAAGGTTCAGCTGCCACCTCCTCCCTTCTCCATCACCTCCCCTGCCCTTGGAACACCCTTCTTGCTCCACTTCCAGACCCAGAGCAGCGGCCGCCACTCGCTGAGGATCACGGGCATCAGCAGCATTAGTTTCCAAGCCAGCTTCTCCACCCAGCTGGACGTCGACACCAGCCAGCCTGGGGAGCGGCCAGTGCAGGGTGAGTCTGGAGCGGCCTGGGGCCACGGAGGCTGCCTCTGGACTTCTTGCAGGCAGGGATGCGGCTGGGTGTTTTTTTCCTTCCCTCTCTCCAGGTCTGCCCATCTCCGTGGTGGTAAACTGCACCGGTCTGAAGCCTCCTGGGCGCTTGCAGGAGTTCGAGCTCTTCAACACCTCTGGCCATCCCCTCCTCTCACTGCCTGCCCGGCCCCTCTCCAATGCCTCCTCGGGGCAGCTCTGGGTGGGCTCACTGCTCCGCGTCCCCCCTGGTGACTTTCTGCTGAAGGTGAAGGGTGAAGACCCCCAGGGCCACCCCCTGCACCGTCTCTCTGGAGTCACCTACACCAGTGTGGTCCCTGGTGAGTGATGCCTGTGCCCTCCAAGGGTGCTGAAAAAGGACCAGAGGCTCCTTCCAGCACCACCTCTGCTTTGGTTTCTGGTTTGGTATTCTTTTATCCTGCTTCCCAGTGCACTTCCCGAGGAGTGTTATATGTGTGTAACCACTTCCAGGTCTACCCAAAGTAAACATCTCCAGCAAGATCCAGGCCTACAGCCGTGAGCCGCAGCTGATCTCCTGCTCCGCATGGAGTGAGATCCCTTTCCGCCTGCAGCTCAGTCGGGGTAGAATGAAGCTTGGGGAAGAGCAGCTCTTCAGGTGAGCCCCCAGTTTGGCCCAGTGGGCTCCACGGTGGGCTTGCATGGGCAGCAACAGCCCCCTGACCTGTGCTGGATGCTGGTTGGGTGCCTGCAAGCCCTGAGCATCCCAAGGCAGCAGAGGAAAATCCTGAGAGATATGTCTGTGGGAGAGGGTGTGCACTCCTTTTCCTCACTTGGATGGAGAAAAGTCGCAGGGATTTGAAGCAAGGTGGTGGCATGGTGGCCTCAGGGTGCCCTCCCTTTTTGTAGGGGATCAGGGAACATCAACTGTGCTGTATCCAAGAGCGATGAAGGGTTTTACGAGTGCACAGCCACAAGCAGAGTTGGGGCAGCCCGAGCTCGTGCCTACGTCTCCATCTCAGGTAGGGACTGCTTGTGCCAAGCCTTGGTGCCTGCAGGTCTCTGGGTCTATGGCTGGGTATGGACTCATTTCACCTTGGCACATTGCATTTACAGAGTCGCCACCACGTCTCACAGCCCTGGACAACATCACAGCTTCACCAGGCCAGGACGTGGTCATGTCCTGCCCGGTTGTGAGTGAGGTGCCCTACAACCTGACATGGAGCTGGGATGGGAAGGCAGCACAGCCCCGGACCCGGCTGCTGCAGAACCAATCGCTGGAGATCCGCAATGTGCAGCCGGGGGACGGGGGCCTGTATGAGTGCGTGGCACGGAGCATCCACGGCACCACCACTGCATCCCTCTGGCTCCTCATCCAGGGTAGGCTCTGCCCCTGGTCCCGATGACTCCATGGGTGGGTGGCCCATGGCACCCAGGGGCTAAGCCTGTCTCCATCCCTGTTCAGAGGCGCCGTGGGTGCAGGTCGACGCCAGTCCCCAGCATTTCAGCAGGGGCCAGGAGCTGCGGCTGAACTGCACAGCTGGGGGGTACCCCCCACCCCGCACCACCTGGAAGCGCTGGGGCTGGGCGCTGGAGCAGGACAAGAGGTGACGCACGGGGACTGGGGTGCCTCCATCCACCCTGTTCTGCTGGGGACCAAGCTCCCCTGGCAGGGATGCACGGGCCATGGGAGAGGGGCTTGGGGCTGCTCATAGCTCTGGAGAGAGGAAAGCACTGCAATAACCCCAATCCATGCACCTGAGATGGTTGGGATGCTGCTAGCCTTCATTTTATATGTTCATTTTTAATCCATCCTGCCTTAAACAGGCCACTATCCCCCACCAAGGGCGTGCAGGTGGGGAGGAGCTCTCAAAATACTCCTTGTGTGTCCCCTTCATTTCTTCTGTTCTTTGTTTCTGCCTCCCTGACCATGTCAGGCTCTGAGTGCTGCAGTGGACTTTGGGGAAGGGTTTTTTTTTTTAAATTTTGAAGATGAAAAAGCCCAATTCCCAATACTTTTCCTTGGTTCAAAGAAACATCCTTCCCTGCAGCAGCTGCTGGAGCTGGCTTTAAGTGCTAACCTGCACCTCTCTAATGCCCAGCACTTACCACATGTGCGGGATGGCCTTAAGCCTGCTCACTTCTTTCAGCACGTTTTTCATCAGCTCTGGTTTTACAGGACTCATTTCTCTCTCTCTCTCTCCCCGTTTGCTGCAGGGTTTTCATGGATGCTGAGGGCACCTTGCACATCAGGGCTGCTGTCCCCGAGGATGTGGGGAATTACAGCTGCTATGCCAGCAGCGCGCTGGGCTGGGATGAGCGAGTCGTCTCCCTGGAGTTCACTGGTACCCGTTCCCTAACACCAGCAGCATCCTGGGAAGGGCCATGAGAGGGATTTATTATCCCTCCTTGCTGTCCCTTCGCTGCAACATGCGAGCTATGGGTTGGAGCTGTCTGTGATGGAAGGTGTTGGGGGGCAGCTCCCAGGACTCCAAGGTCCCCTCGAGGTGAATGGCACCACATCCAGCACTGCAGGGAGTCACCAATGCCATATCTCTCTCTCCCTGTGGTGCAGAGCCTTCTACCATCCTGGCAGTGACGCCCAGCCTGAAGGCACTGGTGGGAGAAGACGTGACCTTGGAGTGCTGGGTTTCGGGAGTGCCCGCACCTCATGTCGCGTGGTACAAAGGTGAGGCTAGGATGGACCTGGGGAGCAAACCCCCTCCATGCACTGGGGCCTTTCACCACCCTGCAGGGATGTCACATGTGAGGCCCCCAAAACCGATGGCAAGAGGGACTTCCGGATACACTCGGGGTGCTGACATGGAGGGTCTCGGTGCAGGCGAGCAGCCGGTGGCAGCGTTTCCCCCCGGCACACAGCGGGCCGTGCTGCGGCTGCAGGCGGTGCAGGAGGAGGACGCAGGGCGGTACGTCTGTGAGGCTCTCGGTGAGGCCAGTGTCGCCTTCAATGACACCGTACTGGACGTGGGCTGTAAGTCTCTGCCTCAACCTTTGGGTCCCACCAAACACTGAGCTCCTCTCCATCCTGGCTCCCCTCCTGCTTCCTGCTTCCCAAGGCTCCTCATGCCCCCAACTCCCAGGTTTCCCAGTTTGGGGGTGTCAGTGCTCGTTTGCTTGGTACAAGCAGGGTGAAGCCTGGTGGGATTTCCAAGGGTCAGGAGGATGAAACAGGCTCAACAAGTGGCAGAGGACCAGTGCAGATGCTGTTGCATGGGGACATGATGGCTTGGGACTAAACTAGGGATGCAAAGCAGCATTAGTGGGATGAGGCAGTGGTGGGTAACTGGCTCCTGTGTGTTTGAAAATCCAGGTGTACCCCAACTGATGTTCAGGGATTACTGCTGCAAGGGCTGGAAAAGCCTTGAGGGGTGGAGAGGAGGTGCTGAGCTGGGAGCAGGGAGGCTTGAAGCTGTTAACGGTGGAAAAGTGCAAGAGATTTTGCTGAGCCAGAGTGGTGTAGAGTGTAACTGGGAGGGCTGGAAGCTGCAGTAGCCGTAACAGCTTTGGAAAAACAGTGAATGCTTTAAGTCAACCTCTTAACTTTTCAGGGCACCCGGCTCATGGGTTTTGCAGCCCCATCTCTGGGCTTGGTTGTGCATGGAGCCTGCCGTGAGGTAGCCAGGGTGTCCGACTTCCCTGAGCCCCTGCTCTGCTTCTCTGTCCTGCAGCTGCTCCTCAGTTCCTGGAGCCCCTTGACGACATGGCAGTCGAGATTGGGGACAGCGTGCGCCTGTGGTGCCGCACCGAGGGCTCTCCCCTGCCGCAGGTCACCTGGTCCCGGCAGGACAGGGAGCCCGTGACGGGCTGGCAGGGGCCATGGAGTGTGTCCAGCCAGCCAGGGGCTGCTGAGCTCCTCATTGATGGTAAGAGCTGAGCGTGCAGGTGTGCACTGTGGTGCAGAGCGTGCGTGGGCATCCCACCCGTGTCTGTACTTGCAGTGTCACCCTTGGGTGCTCCCTGTCTGGGCATTGCCAGGCTCAGGCTTCTCCCTGCTGTTCTCCAGATGCCTCGCTGGATGACCAAGCTGTCTATGTCTGTGAAGCCCAGAACGAGTTTGGGAAAATCCAAGCGGAGGTCAAGCTCACAGTCACTGGACACGGTTTGCTTTTACCTCCTTTTTTGGTGCATTGATCCTGGCTGCACCCACATCTGCTCTGAGCAGGCCGCAACAAATGCTCAGAAAACTCTGACAGTGCAGGGTTTGGATAACACCCTTCCACCCTTTTGGCTTAATGCACTGATGCCTGCTTGGACAGGCAAATATCCCCACATTCTTGGGGAAACTGTCTGAGCTGGCTTGTGCCGAGCCAACGTCTGGACCTTGGAAGGAAAGGTGATCCAGATCTGTTGTCCTGAGCATTCCTGGCCAATTTATCTGTAACTAATATTGCTTTCCCTTTCCTTTCTGTCAAGCAGCCCCCGAAATAGCTCTTGCATCCCCTGTGCTCCATGTGCTCCCAGGCCAGCCGGTGTCTCTGCCCTGTGTGATCCTGGCTGGGAGGCCATTCCCAGCCCGACGCTGGCTGAGGGACGGGCAGCCGGTGAGGTTTGGGTGCCTGCTGGGATGGTGGGTGGGTGGGCAAGCATGAGCATACCCCTACAGCCAGGGCTTAGCTGCAGGATGGGTGCCTCAACCTCCCGGGGCTAAAGCTGCTGGGGTAAGGATGCCATGGGAGAATTTGGGTTGGAAGGGTAAAGTGGGTTTATGACTGCAGTGGAATGTGTTCCTACTGCTCAAGGATTGGTTTGTAGATATGCACCAAAGACGCTGTTATACGGTGATGTTTGACCCCCTGCTCTCTGCTCATGCCCAGGTAGCCCCAAGCAGCCGCTACTCCATCCAGGCTGATGGGAGCCTGCACATGGACCAGGCGTCACACAGGGATGCAGGGACCTACACCTGCGAGGTGACCAACGCCCTTGGCTCACACAGGCAGGATGTGTCTCTGGTCGTTCACGGTGAGCAGCAGGGTGCTGGGCATCCATAATCTGCAGTGAATGGGACTGGGTGCCCTCTGCACCTAAGCCACAAAGCACAACTCTCTTTTTTGGTGGACGTGGCCCTGGCTGCAGGGGCTAAGGTGCTTCTCTTCCTTCCCAGTTCCTCCCAGCATTGAGCTTGGCCCTGTCCTCATCACTGCCATTGAGGGAGAGGCTGTCGCCCTGCAGTGCAATGCCACTGGCGTGCCCCCCCCTACAGTCACCTGGATGAAGGTGGGTGACGGGTACAGGCAGGCTGCCATCCTGCGGCCAGCCGGGCTGTGGGTCACCCTCTGGTGTGGGGTAGGGTGTTTGGAGGGGATGTAGCTCACCAGTGCAGCTGTGGCTGCATGGGGAATTGGCATTGAATGCCCTGAGATGCCAGCATCAGGAAGCAGATGGGTCTAGAGCCCTCTTCTTGCCTTTGGATTGCTCAACTCATAGAAGAGTCTCTGCTGTATTCCTTCCTCCCCTCCTGTTCCTCTGCAGGGCACAGAGCCAATCTCCCTGAGCCCACGCTACCACCTTGACCCTGATGGGACCCTCCTGATCCCTTCGCCCTCCCCCAGGGATGCTGGGACCTATTTCTGCACAGCTACCAATGCAGTGGGCTTCTCCAGCCAGGAGATGCAGCTCTCCGTCAGCAGTGAGTGCTCAGGACTGGCCCTGGCATCAGCTCCCAGTAAAGCAGCTCTGGAGGAGGTGGCTGGCTGGGAGAACACAGCCTGGGGTCTCTTCTGTCTCCTTTGGGCCACTAAGCCAGGTGCCAGATGGGTTTGCAGGTTGGGAAGAGCAGCGATGAGAGCTGTGGGGCACCTGAAGCATTCCTGCCCCAGCCATGCTCCCTCTTCACCCAGCAAAGCCCAGGATCAGCGTGAACGGATCGCAGGCATTGGACCCCATAACCATCCTGGCTGTGCTTGGGCAGGAGACCACCCTGCCCTGTGACGTTCAGGGCTATCCCCCTCCCCTTGTGGTGTGGACACAGGAGTCCCAGCCACTGCATCTCACCACTACGAGGTAAGGAGAGCTGTGGGTGCCAGGGATGTGATCTCTTGGTGCTGTGTGTCTCCCCATAGTGGGATCAGGTCCATAAGGGGATTCAGCTGCTTGGCAGGGAGATGTGAAGGGCATAACTGGCATCAGGTGGTCAATGCTCAGTGCTCTGGCAGGAGCAGAGGCAGCTGAGTGGCACAGCATTAGCTCTGCTCTTCAAGGAGAGCAGAACAAGAACCACCAGGCTTTTTTTCCATTGTTCAAACATCTGCTGGGATGGAGCAGCTGCTCCTGGCCCTTTGTGAGTCCTGGACACGAGGCAGGGATTGGAAAGGGAAGGTGGCTCCTCTCACCCATTTGCCTTCGTGCACATTCCTGCCTAGTGCCGTCACGGTCCCAGGGGCAGTGAGGCCAAGGATGTGCCTGGGGATGGGAGATCCCTGTAGGAGCTGTTGGAGTGGGGGTTGATGCTGCTCTACACTGGGGTGGCTGCAGGACACTGAGGAGAAGAGCAGAATGCAGAGGAGAATGGGGAAGCTGAGGGTGTTGCAGACTGCTCTGCCCCTCATAGGCTTTGTGTTGGAGGGAATTCATGGGCTTTAGTCATCAAAATTTGACAGAAACATCGTTGTGAGCCAGGCAGTGACTTTGTCTGTGTTGGGTTTAAAGGCCAGGTCTGTTCCAGTGAGTGACTTTTGGAGGGCAAAATTCATTTGTTAGTGGCATTGAGGCAGATGACAGTGATGGAACTGTCATTTAATGCCATTTCATGAGAGAAGATAACCTGGACAGTGGTGGGATATGTGTTTGAGCGCCTCGGTCTTCTCCCTTGGAAGCAGGACCTGCTTTTTTGGCACATTAGCACCACTCTGGAAGGGGCTCCCTAGAGACACAGGCCCCAGTTTTGGGGTTAGTCACTTATTTTAACTGAAGATTGCTGTGGTCTGGAGAAGCAGGAAGGCCTCTTGGTTTTGCTCTTATTGAGGGACAGCATTGCCTTGTCCTTCTTGTCTGGTTTCCCGTGGCCGCTCCTGGTTGCACTGTGCTGCTCCCCACATCTCCGCTGGCTTTTCCTCTCCACACATGCCTGGGTGATTTATGGGAGCATATGAGGAGGAATCTGCAGCCGTGGGCTGCGATGATGTTATGTCTGTGGAGCACAGACAGTGCTGGGGGTGAAAGCATGGCCAGCTCCAGCTGCAGAGGCTGTGCTATGCAGGGACCCCAGTTTCCCCGGGTGTGTGGCTCCCACCGCTGCCTTGCGTTGAGCTCCTGCAGGAGCTGAGCACAGGGATTTGCACCCATTGGCAGCTCTGCTGCCCTCCTTGGGCAGGAGGTGGCCTTGGGGACCCTTTCTTGGCTGTCTCAAGGTGATGGTGAGCTCTCAGCCCTTAGCTCCTGCCCAGTGTTAGGTGATGGAGGACATGGCTGTTTCTCCCATCCAGCTCTTCTGTTGCTTGTCCCCAAGGTACAGCGTCCTCCCTTCGGGGTCCCTCCGACTGGCCAAGCCCCAGGTGACCGACACCGGCCTCTACACCTGCACAGCCACAAATGCTGCAGGGAATGCCTCACTCAGCTATAGCCTGCAAGTCCAAGGTTCACATCCACTGGTTAAGACGTTCTTCCCATGGGCTGCAGGTCTTAACATACCACTGTGGTTCTGCGCCCTCCAAACCCTCGACTACTCCTGCTTCCCTGTACCAGGGCCCAAGGGTGGTCCTAGCCTGAGGACCCCTTTCCTCCTAGCTCCCCCTCAGCTGCTGATCGGTGATGGGGAAAGCCACCTGACGGCCACCGCCAATGACTCCTTGAAGATTTACTGTCGTGCCATGGGCATCCCCACACCCCAGATCCAGTAAGTGCTACAGAGTGAGGGGATCCTGCCCATGTTCCCCTGAGTTCCCTTAGGGGCTGTGTAACTCCCTGGGGGTGCTCTGCAGCCCAGTGTGCAGAGCTGAGGCAGAGATTGGGATGGAGGCTCAGGATGGAGGAGGATTTGGTGATGGAGACCCCAGCTTGGGGTGTCCTTTAGGATGGGAGGCATCAGTCCTGCTCCGTGCCCCTGGGATCCCACTCTTTCTAGCATTATGGGCACTGCTGGCCCCTATCCAGATGACAAGGGGACAGTCCATCCTACCAATATCCTGCTGTTCACTGCTTTGGTAGGCAGAAATGGGGGTCAGGGGGTGTGGTGGGACAAACCAAGGACTTGCCACACACCCCTCTCTTCACAGATGGCTGAAGGATGGGCATCCACTGGGAGAATGGGATGGTGTGGTGGTGTCTGAGGACAGTGGGACTCTGCTGATCGCTCGTGTGGGGCTCATCCATGAAGGGCTCTACATCTGCCAGGGCAGCAGCTGGGCAGGGGTGGTCCAGGCAGAGGTGCGGGTTTCAGTGCAAGGTGAGTACAACACCTGGAGCGAGACCTGCTACCCATCACACATGTTAGGGAGGTCACAAAGGAGTGGATCTTCTAGGCCCTGCTTTTTGGGAGGTGTAGGATCTGTTGGGATCCTGCCCTTCACCAGTCTCAACCTGAGGCTAAGAGCTGGTGGCTGCTGACACCATGGTAAACCATAGCATTCATCCTTGATGGGTGTGTGCCCAGCCATGCCCCTCAGCACTGCATGGTGTGGCAGCTGCCAGCTTGGGCTGTGCAGAGCCAATGACCATGGGTGCTGGGTTGCAGTGCCTCCGAACATCGAACCCAGTGAGGTGGACCTGACCGTCCTGGAGAACAGCACGGTGTCCCTGGACTGCCTGGCCTCGGGGCTGCCTGCTCCCAGTGAGTCGGTCGTCTCCCTCGGCTCTTGCTCATGCCTACCAGGGGCTTTCCTTGGGTCCCCTGGGTGAGAGGGGCGGCAACATCGCTCCTTATATCTGTGCTCCCTCCTGCCCTCCAGGCATCGCCTGGTACAAGGGACATGAGAAGCTCTCGGCCAGGCCAGGCCAGACCCTGTCCAGGGATGGGAAGTGCCTGGAGATCCAGCGTGCCCAGCTCTTGGATGCTGGCAGCTACCGCTGCGTGGCCTCTAACGTGGCTGGTGTCACCGAGCTCTGGTACAGCCTGGAGGTGACTGGTGAGTCCCTGGCAAGCAAGGGAAGGACTGTGGCTGCCTGAGAGCTCGGTGTTCCCCCCGGGACCTCTTGTGCTTGTGTGGGGTGAATGGGGCCATCCCAGCCCTTGGGACATGTCCCTGGAAGATGACTTTAGCAGAGACCCTGTCCTCTGCCCTGTGTCCATCCCAAATAATCTCCCATAAAACAGCTTAGATGGGTATTGTCCGGTCTGCACCATGGTGTTTCCTACCCATCCTGTCCCTTTTGCACCCTGGTGCTCCTGGTGACATTTCTCTGCCCCTACCAGTGCCCCCACGGATCACAGCTGGCCCAAGCCCTATCACGGTGGTGACGAACAACCCAGTGATACTGCAGTGTGATGCCGTGGGGACCCCAGCTCCAGTGCTGCTGTGGCTGAAGGATGGCAACCCAGTGAGCAACGTGGGGACAGGTGGCCCACAGGTGAGATAGTTCCTCATGGATGGGGGCTTGCTGGGCATTTGCCTCCTGGAAAATGCTCCCTTTCCTTGTTCTTTAAAAAAATAAGACTGCTGGAGCTGAGCAGATGCAACGCTGCCCAGACCTGCCCCAAGTTTGGTCCATGGGAACGTGGGATCTGCTCAGCTCTGCACTGGGCTTTCCTGCCATGGGGGATGTGGGTGTGCAGAGGGTCCCTGGAATGCAACAAGGATGGGCTCAAGTCAGGCTTATGCCCACCCATCCCTGTGCCACTGCCTGTGAGTTTCTCTGGTTTCGTGCTCATCTGGGCTCTTTCTGCTTCTTGGGGGAGCACAGGTCCTCTCTGGTGGGCGTGTGCTGTCTCTGCCCACTGCTCGCCTCCAGGACTCAGGGACATACACGTGTGTGGCCAGCAGTGCTGCGGGGGAGGACAGACACCAGGCCACCCTCGAGGTGCAGTGTAAGTACCCCAATGCATCCCCAGCTCCTTCTCACCAGTGTGGCTGTGGGGTTGGAGGTAATGCTTGGGAAGATGGGGCTGCTCCACTGTCCCCTTGCAAGTATGCAGGGCTATGCAAGGGTTGGTCTGGGGAAGGTATTGCCCTATCAATCTGTTTTCCAGTGCCACTTGCTGCCCTGGGTGAGGAGGAAAACATCTCTGTCGTCGTCAACCAGACAGTGACCCTAGAGTGCCCGTCCCCTGGCATCCCCCTTTGGGAGTCCCACTGGCTGAAAGATGGCAACTTGCTCATCCTAAAGCCAGGCATGTGGCTGTCTGTGGAGGGGACTGTGCTCCAGGTGATGCTTCAGAGTGCTGCAGAGGATGGGAGAAGAAATGGGTCTGTGTGGGTCCAGTTCTGCTGCAGAGCATCTTAATACCTCTGGTTGTTCCTGCAGATCGAGCGAGCCACTGTGCAGGATGCGGGCAGGTACACGTGCAGGACACCCAGCCACCCAGAGAAACACTACAGCCTCGACGTGTGGGGTGAGGGCCACTGCAGCCAAAACAGGTCATCGGGGGGAAATGCAGTGCAAAAATATACACACATATGTATAATATCCACTATACCATTTGTTTGTATGTGTAATAAGTACCTGGGGTAGCTGCCTGGCTTGAAAAACACCAAGTCCAAAATATTGAAGCTCTGCAAAAAGATGCAGCTGGAGGTGGTAGGGAATCCCCACTAGGATGGGTGTCAGAGGGAAAAAGCCAGTGTTTGCACAAGCCTTTCTTGGGGGAATTTTAGTGATGGTGCAGAAGAGCTGTTTTTCCAAAATGTGGGCAGGAGAGCAAAGGGATTTCCTTGCCAGGGCTTCTCTGTCCTTTCTTTGCATGTAGCCTGGTGGTTGCTGCAGGCATCGTCCCTCTTCTGTCCCCCTGCCCGAGTCGGGGCGATGCCAGCAGTGTTTCCCGGGTTGCTGCCAGGACAGGCACCGTCTGCTTTCACTCACTTGATTCGAGCATCCTCACAGCCTCCCAGCCCACTCTGTGCATCCTCTGAGCCAGGCCCTGGCTTTCCTCAGAATGCTCTAGGCCAGTTGGTGGAACTCCTGCAGGCAGGTGGCCAGGGAGTGGAGAAGATCCAGTTCTCCTGATCTGAGCTTGTTCCCGAGATCCCTTCCCAGGGAAACATTTGCACGTCTGGCATCCTGGCTCGGGTGGATTGTTTGGGTTCTGCTGTTTCTGTTTTTCAGGGGTTTCTGGGTGTTGGGGTTTTACTTCTACAAATTGATATCCCTCATGGGAAGGAGTTACCATTTTCCAGCCAGCTGTATTTGTGAGCAACTGAGAAACAACATCTGATAATGGAAAGACTTAGGTAACCTCCCTAGCGAGCAGGGCTGCCTAATAAGGCTGTGTCTGGCCAACCGGGGCTCGGCCTGCCTGCACGGCTGGCACGGGATGCTTGGTCATCCTCTGCTGAAGGTCACGTGCAGTTAAAAGCATCGCTCACTTCATAGCTGGAGAGTCAAGATTATTATTTCCACATGTAGCTGCTGCAGGGGAGGTTTGCCGGCTCTTTGTGCAGAGCTGTGGGTGGTTTGTAGCCAGCAGGACAGAGCTGTGGTGAGGAGATGCCCCTCTCCTCTCATCCAGCGCCATCAATGAGCAGCTCCTCTCCTCTCATCCCCTGCAGTGCCCCCGTCCTTCTCCTCAGCAGAGCCTGCCACTGTGGCCGTGCTGGAGGGGCAGTCCGTCAGGCTGGCCTGTGACTGCTACGGGATCCCCTTCCCCACCCTGCGCTGGTGGAAGGACGGTAGGGTCCTGGTCCGCATCCCTCCCCACACACACTGACCCATCGGACAGATGTTGGTCTCCATAAAGCACTCCTTGCTCCAAGCTGAGCAGTATCCAGCTTCTGGGTGGGAGCTGGTCCTGCTGGGAACCTGAGAGGAGTCTGCTGTCCCCTTCCCCGGGCAGGTGAGCCCCTCTCCACCCAACCTGAGAGCCCAAAGCTGGTGTCCACGGGAGGGAGCATCCTGTACTTTGAGAAGGC